GGTACAACATTGGCATCACGTGGTCGATTTGAAATGTACTTGCGGAAAACATAACAGACGCTACGAAGGCGATTAAAAAATCACAACTACCTCGGTCTACTGGGAAGAGTAGTACCGAGACCTTTGACTCTTTTTCAAAGGAAGCAAATTAAAGAGATATGGTGGAGTTAAATGGTTCACCATTTTATAAAAACATGAATTAGTTTGTGCACTTTTCTTCTAACTTTCAGATCTTCCCAACATAGTTCATTTAACAGGTTTACTTTACTATAGTTCCCTTTATTGCACCAGTTACTATCCGAGCACATTCATATTGTATATCTTCTAGGATCTTACTATCTTCTTCACTACAACCATCCMRSATAGTGYCACCATRTTCCATCAAAGGACGAATTGAGCTTTTATACAGAACAGTTAAGGTTGAACGATTCAATTTATATTTGAGACCCTTAAAGATGTTTAGGGCTTTACTAGCCTTTTCATGAATGGMCATGATGTGTTCTTTCCAAGAAAGGTTGTCYGACAGARTTAAACCAAGATGTGTATGAGAGCTAACTTCGCGAATAGGGACATCATTGAAACAAAGTATTGGGTGTGCTATTTTGCTACGCYTTACTGTGAACGTCATCGATTCACATTTAGTMATATTCATTTTCATTGACCACTTATCACACCACTGACTTATAACCTTCAGAWCATTGTTTAGCTTACATGACGATCGTAGAGGGTTGTCCACAATATCWAACAGTGAAGTATCATCAGCATAGAGAAAGCACTGCGATTGTACATCCACACAGACATCATTTATATAAATCAAAAACAGCAAAGGTCCCAGTATAGACCCTTGTGGTACTCCTGYGTATATATATTGGACCAGTTAGAACATTGTCCTTCAATCACAACACACTGCTGTCTATTTGAGAGATAACAGCGGAACCAACTCAATAACGGGTCTCTAGTGCCTATGCTTTGGAGTTTGAAAATTAGACTTTCGTGCCAAACTCTGTCAAACGCTTTACTATGAGAACTGGGTTAAGTGGCTGTCATTTCTACAAAATTTATTTACACTGTATCCAATACACCTAAAATAGTACTCCRCAATAAATATATACATAAAATTTCCTTTCCAAATTGCATGTCAAAAGTGTGAAATTTCACACCTAAGGTGTCAAAAAAACGCAGGCAACCCAAGGCTCTTTTTCAGCAATTTATTAATATCTCTCTCTAGAAAATGTTATAAAGAAAATAAAACTTGAGCTATGAAAATAAATTGTATAAAGAAAAAAAATTAGGCAGCCCGGAGCAAAATATTTTTTTGGCGAGTTTAAACTACCGTGACACGGTTTTCGGTCGTAACATTTTATCAAAATATGTCTTTGCTCCGGGCTGCCTAATTTTTAATCTTTAAGGTCTATTTAAGATTTGCTCCAAATTTAAGGATAGTATGATAAATATAAAAGAGTTTATTGAAGAACGCGTGAGGGAGAGTGGTGCTTTAATGCGATAAAGTCGCTATAATTCTTCAATTTTGGATTCAAACGAAAGAATTCGCCGCCATATTGTTTCTGACATTGAACTACGTCATGACTCACGATATCAAGTCGATTGAGCAACAAAAACTATAGGAAAACTTCGGTTTTATATCGCCCACGCATCGCTTCATCCGAATCCCGTAACGCGTCCCAAACAAATGACATCATCCATAGCAACGTTCTGAACGCATGCGTATTTCGACAGTGAAACACGAAACCACACCATAAATTTGACAAACAGCAATCTACTTACTTATCAACAGACTTTCTTCGAGTGTTTTAATAATATATAGTAGCATTTTATACAGCAGTTATAGAAAGCATATGTTATTTAGCTTATCAATG